GCCTGAGCTGGTTTTCATTCCAGCTGACCCTTTGTGCCAATTGACTAATAAACTAAACAGAGGTCTGCTTGGCCATTATTTTTGATTGAACAGCTCTTACTAGCCAATCAGCTGATTATGAACAGACAGCAGAGACATGGAATGAGATGCCCACAGTGGGATTGATATTAAAACAGATACCAATAATATGCAGCTTTTTTTCCTTCTGCAGAGGTTCAGTGGGTTACATTCCATAAGCTCACCTGAATAAAAGTACTTCTGAAACTCTGTCCGTACGTGGTATGGGTACAGAGACGATTCTGGATACAGAAAGAAAATTTACAGCTATTCCCCAAATGGAAAACGGAGATCAGCTCGCTTGTGATTCAGAACAGCTGGAGAGAAAACCAGGAGCAGGACTTTGAATAACGGATCTAGTGGAACAAGCCCTCTCGGACACAGGCCTCGGTGTTTGCATCTCCGCAACTTTGAGCGCTAGAAATCTGGGCCATTCGACACATGTCAGGTGCTCTTTGAATAAAGCCTTTTTTTCGGTAAGTTTGTATGGACGAAGCTCTGCTCGCCGGGAATTGGTTTTGACCCCCTGCTTTATACAGTCTCTCAATATCGCAGCCTTGCACAGGGCAGTCAGACATGACTGGCAGCAGGACTGTGGTCGTGTAGGGCTCCCTGGCGAGGCTGTCCACACTTGCTCCAAGCCCTGCCTGCTTGTGTAGAGCTGGGTAGGGGCGAGACCATTGCTCACCACTAGAGGGCCACACACGCGCGGTCCAATCGCGTTCGTTTTGAAGCAAGAGACTCTCGATGAGCAACGCAAAGACTCCATCTTGCGTCAGTTGTGTTTTGCAATTTAGAACTGTAAAAAAAAAAACACAGTCCTCCGCAGGTCCGAGAACATCTGTCCCAAGCTCCGTTAAGTAGCCCCCCCTACAGCCAGCACAAACGATGAAACCCAGAACGATGAAATACAAAATTAAAGCACGAACATAATATAATGATCCTAGACATTACATTTCTATTCATTTTTGAAGTAGAAAGCAGGTTTTTCCCCTACCTTAAATATACGATTTAGAGTACGGGACATTGTGAATCAATAAAGACGTTAAAAAAATAAGCCGATGTAGTTATTTTGCAAATAAGTAATAATAAGTAAAGCATTTTTAAAAAAAAGATTCTCATTAACAGTAAACAAGCAGATCCACCTGGCGCTGCTAGTTTAAACAGCTCTGAGACCCGTGATTGGCTAAACCCCCGAACAGGTCGGGCCGCGATTGGGTGAAGAGTGAGAATCGACACTCTGATTGGGTAAAGCGCAACTGCGGAGGTTCCGAGAACATGTAGATACACAGGTGATGGATGTTCTTCTTGGTCCGAATACTGTAGCCCCGGTTAACCGTGTGTGCTATATGAGCACGCTGGATATACAGTTACACATCCATCGGTTTCCAATTACTAATCAATCTAAGAGAAGTCGCACTGATGTCAAAACTGAATAGCAGACAAAGAATGTCACGGCATCCACTGCGCGTTCACGACTCCGATAGCATGTCACGATAGGAGTGCGCGCATCACGATCAGATCGCGATAGCCATTGCGACTGGCGCACCACTGTCGCGACATTAAGTCCATATATCGCGATATGGCGCACCCCCCCACTCCCATGTCGCGACATGAAGCCCGCATATCGCGATATGACATAACACGGCAAAAATGCCCTGCCCCATGTCGCGACATGAAAGACCCTATATCGCGATATGGCATGCCCAGCCAAAACGCCCACACCCCCATGTCGCGACATGGAGTCCAGCTATCGCGATATGACAAAAACCCGTCGCACCCATATCGCGACAGGAACCCCTTATATCGCGATATGACATAGCCCCAACAAAATGCCCCGCCCCCATGTCACGACATGGAGTCCATATATCGCAACCCGTCCTATCTGGGTATATCATGTCCTGATATGAGACCTTTGTTGCGACAGTGGTGCCAGGGTGGCATGGAAGCAAGGTGCCAGTCGTGATATACAATGCCGGGATATAATGGGGTCCCTATCATGACATTCTGTGAGGTCTTATCGCGATGGTATCCCACAGTTACTCGTTTGGCAACAGCGTGTCACCGTCTGGAAAGAAAAAGGAAAACGTGCCTTAGAAAATAAAAACCGTAGATCTTACAATCACGGTAATTTTACATACATTACAACCACAGGTTTATGTCATAGGTGGTTAACTTGTTAGCATGCATCACGTCTTAGTATTATTCACATCTAAGGAGGCGTATATGTTTATGCATATTGATTGTCTTTCAAATGTGAAGGGTACGAGCTGAACTGTAACAGCGCGCTTGAACCCGACAGACGGGGTCACAGGAGGTCAAAGTCACCGTGCATGGTCATGTGAACACCGGAAAAACAAGGCTTTTTTTCTCGGAAACGAAAGCAGCACAAACGCTACTTTTAACTGCACAAACCGGCACAAACAAATGAGGTGGGTTTCATCGTTTGTGCTCTCTGTAGGGGGGGGGGCAACTTCACGGAGCTACTGTCCCAGGATACAAAGATATGTCTTGTGCACAAACCTTCTTTTCCAACAGATCTGTGTACCCGTAACCACTGCGGTTTACCGCTTTCTTCCAGCTGCTGGATTCCTGTGGGAGTTTAGAGAGGATTTGAGGGATTAAACAATGGGATACACTTTTTATATCGGAGCTTCCCACGCCCTCTTTGTGGTGTTTTCTTCCTGCTGATGCTAAACTCTGGCTTGTGGAATTGAAACTCTTAATTTCAGCCAAATTAAGTTACCCACCAAAAGCTGCATGTTAAGGATTGTTGAACAGGTCACATGTTGATCCCTATTGCCTTAGTTTTTAGCACCATTAAAGCATTGATTAAATAAACGAGACCATATCAGGTGCCAATGATGATCCCTTTAACTGGAATTAAGGACTCAAACGTGGAACCTGCATGCCCTCATCAATGTCTTGATTACAGTGTATATTTCAAGGGATTTGCTCTTGGTGAAGCAATAATATACAACTAAAGCTGTAAATCCAATATTTTGAAATAATGGGCTTAATTAAGAACTTCATTTAGAATGAAAACCAGAACAGACACTTCTGAAACCAAAATTAACACATAAATTGGACAGGATTAAACCTTGTGATTTTTTTTTTTTGCTGGAAAGTAGCTTCCATTGATCATGGCCTGGGCAGTGAACAAGGATCATGGTCAGAGCACAGAAGACAAAAACAAAATGTTACTATGAGCACCTGCAAAACAGTAGCACTGAAACTAAAGAGGTTATAGATCCAAACATTTAGGATTTTTAATATTTCCCATAATGCTAAAGCATTTTAGTACTGTCTGAAAATAATTAAGCGGTGTGAATCAGAAACCAGTGCTACAGTTAGGAGGCAGTATGAAAATCGGTCTTGCAATGATGTAGGGGCTACATTACAAACCTACTGCCTACGTTAAGTGGCAAATAAATTATAGAAAAGCAGTGGGGATCATTAAATTTGCTATTCTGAGCATTGGTCAGGTCAATATGATGAAATTGGCTGGATTCCCCAAGCAGCTGTGCACAATTGCACTGCCAGAAAGCTTCCCAGCAAACAGCCATCACTGCACCTGAAGGCTTGTGGTGATGTCATCGTAAGACAAGCCAGGCCCCCCTCCCACAGAATTGCTGACTCACCTGTCAGGCCCTGTGGAGCTTGCAACACGACAATGAACAACTCTGTAGGGGGGTGTTGGAGGAGCACGTCCATATGAATCTTTCTCTCCACAGCAGGTTCCCTTACCACATCTTAAACACTACTGACTCTTACAGACAGGGTGAGGATCTATTCAATCACGAGATTCCAGTTTGTTTAATGGAACCCTGAGCAGAAAAAAAGCACACACAGCTTGGAGTTTTTTAGAAGTTTTATTCTAGTTTTAAATTCTTCATTTGTATTTTTGGCAAGCAACATTTTCACAGCCACAATCTCTAATGGGAGAATGTTTTAAATAAAAAAAAGGAAAAGTAAGATCACTAGCATTTTGGCGTTGCTAAATGTCCGTGCAAATTCCCATCCTAAACTATCAGTAAAACTGAGGTGATTTTTTTTTCCCAATTTGCTTTTATTCGATGAATTCTTGCAGCATAACTATGGAAGACATTGTCAAGCTGAACATTGCAAATATACATATATTTATATAGTATTTTAAAATCTTTTTTAATGTACAGTATCTTGTGGATGAAGTATGAACATGCTTTTTGTTCTTTAAAAGTCCAAGTCCATGAGTTACCTTTTGTACTGTTCGCTAAATGTGGTACCTAGGTGTATGAAAAGTGATTTTAATTTCCTTCCAGTGGCAGCCATTGCAGTGGGTTTGTGTTTCATTTGGTATTGTGACAAATCTTCATGCCCAGGCAGCGAGTCCTCTTTGGCTGGGGAACCAGGAGGGGAGGACAGAGGGGAACTGAAGGTCAGGAACTTGTGATAGGACAGTGACTCTGATCTCACGATGATGCCCATCCTGGAATGAAAAGGTAAATACGGGCCATTTCAAAGGCATGACTCTCTGGACCAGACTACGCAATGGGTCTGTGTTAGTTATGAGCTTGGGGAATATAATCTCTTATTTTACCCACTGGAAAAAAAAAATCCGACAATAAAAATCATGCCATACCCACCACAAAACCCTCTCGGTGACTCTCCACCTCACCTTCAACCTGAGGACCCCAAAAGTATGAGCGAACAGCAGCAATGGAAACCCTGTGCAGCAAGAATCTGACCTGCGTCAGCAGCAGTGCGCCAGATCTGCGTGCTCCCAAAATGCTTTGCTGATCCAAAGTCTGCTGCAGCAGTTCGGCCATTTTCGCCGATGGCTGTATCCCTCCCGTGGAAGAGTGGCGCCATTCCCATTTTTCTGCCGGTGATCTCCAAACATTAAGTCACGCAGGAAGTTCACACCATTCAATCTTCAAATTGGTCTGACATGCGAGCCCTGAGCCGTTAATTGATTCGACTACAGCACTGCTTTTGCTTTACTGATTAGAGAAACCCAATAGCATGATGTTATTCTTTTCACAATTGAGATGCAAAGACCTTTTGTATCAGAAATGCAAAATCAGAGAGTACGTCAACAACTACCTTGGTGTCAGATGTAATGTGGACATAGATTTGGGGAACATCTGCACAGACATGGCTATTCATACCAACCTGTGTCAGCTGTCTCCCCCCTCCTGCGTCTCTAGTGCTATTCAGCCACTTGGACCCCTGTGCAGTTGTCTTTACTCTCTGAAGCAATGGCCAGATATTCCGCCCTGTTCGGAAAGTGGAGTTGAGACATGAATGCAGTGGTTCATCCCAGGTATACACCTCATAATATGACTTACTAATGAATGACTTATCAGTGTAGACCAGAGGGGCGAGATAGCGAGGTGGAACAATCACTTACGCGCTTTCTCGGAGAGCCTCCTCTCCAGCTGCAGCGATCTTCCTGTAACAATAGATCATTTCCACCACCAGCCAGACTTGCAGCCCCACAATGGACACATACATCATGACCTCTGAGATGATGGATGCCAGCTCCCGGTTGGCTGTGGACAAGTAGACAGGATTCAGTCAAGCATCCTCTGTTGTCCAAGACTTCCGAAGTCAAATGGTAAACAACATAACAAAGAGAGACACTCCTGACTGGACTGGAGACACTGCTGTCCCTCTCCTCTCACACTG